AGTTCTTCTAATAATGTGTGATTGTGGGCTTTTCAGGTTGCTCTCAGTGGCCAAGTCTTGAAAGGAAATTCAATCAAAACAGTTCTGGTGAGAGAGGCCAAAAACTATAGTGCATCACTTGTTATTGTGGGGACAACTAAGCTCAGTGCCTTTGGGTGAGAATTGAGATGAATATAAATGTTAGCTACAAATTAAAAGTTATTATTTCCCTTAAAATTCTATTTTTGTTCTGTAAAAAAATTGTTGATTTTCAAATGTTAATTAAACACCAATTTTCCTTACAGAGGATGGACTTCAGTTGCTAAATATTGCTCAAAAAGGCTGCCTGAAACTACTGAAGTTATTTCAATTTATGATGGGAAAGTTTTTTTCAGCAGATTGTCCAATCTGCAACTACTTCAAGGTTCGGTTCATCGTCTGTTTTCGATCATCGTAATTTTTATTTTTTTAACGAAACATTACAATCGTAATTTGGATAATCTACAGAGCCCGTCTCGTGTTTAACCGAAAAAACCACTTGATCGAATTTTTCCGAATCCAAAATGTCGAGTTTTGATGAAAAAGCCCGATTCTGCATAACCGACCCGAAACCCGGCTGGCCTTTGCTTCAGAAAGTCAGCTCGAAAGCTCAACCGTCAAAGGATGCAAGAAAAATATCGGTCGTGAAGTGGGTTATGACGAGTTTGCCACGTCGTTCTCTGTCCTTACCCGCATTTCCCGAGTTCGCCATGTCAGCATGTACGAACGAGAGAGTTATTATCGAAAGAGAATATTTCGAGCTTTTGCTTGACAAGTGTAACTCGATTGGATGCAGAGTTTTCGGTTATGATGTGATCAAATGTTCGACTTTTAATTTCTCATCAAGTAATTTATTTTTTTTTCATATCTTTTAAAACTGATTTTTTCTTTTCGTTTCGAATTTTCTACGATTTGCCTTGCGATTTCACTTAGGGAATCTTATCGGGAAAGGCGGATGCAATTCCGTGTACAAAGGCATTCTTCCGGAAGGAAAAACCGGTTGCCGTAAAAGTTCTAAAGTCGTGTAAAGAATCGTTAAAGAACTTCATGCTCGAGCTCGATATAATTACGTCGATAAACCACAAAAGAATCACGCCATTGCTCGGAATTTGCGTAAAAGATAATGAGTTCATATCTGTCTACGAATTCTTGCCTAAAGGAAGCCTCGAACAAAATCTACACGGTGAGTTACTACTCGAAAAAAACGATAAACCGAAAAATGTATATCGACTAATTTCGATAAATAAAAAAAATTCAGGGGACCGAAAGGAAAAATCGATATTGTCATAATGTCATGGGATTCGAGGTTTTGGATAGCTTTCGGTATTGCTGAAGCTCTTCATTACTTACACAATGAGTGCTCAAAGCCTATTATTCATAGAGATGTCAAGTCTTCAAATATACTACTAACTGAAGAGCTAGAGCCGCAGGTTCTACTACATTTTGTGGTTCTTTTCTTTCTTTCTTTTTTTTTTTTTCTNAATAACCCTTGAAAAACAATCTAATTACGTTTGTTACCAGTTGTGCGATTTCGGACTAGCGATGTGGGGACCCACATCGTCGTTTTTCTTGATGGATAGCAATTTAGTCGGCACGTTCGGATATTTGGCTCCCGAGTATTTCATGTACGGAAAAATAAGCGACAAAATCGACGTGTACTCGTTTGGCGTGGTTTTGTTGGAGCTGATTTCAGGGAGAAAAGCCATTGGTTTAGAGAGCACAAAAGCTCAAGAAAGTTTAGTCATGTGGGTAAGGAAAAATGTGTACATATTTTTCAAATTTGATAAATCACAAAAAGCACCGTTGAGGTTTAGTCTAATTACAGAAAGCATCGACTACGTTTCGATTTCGGATTGTTCGGTGATTAGACTGAACCTCTAGGGTTGTTTTAGAATTTCTGGTTTTTTTGACACTTAAGTTGCTATTAAGTTGGTGTGATTTTTGTTTCGTGTTTTTGCATATCTTAATAGGCAAAACCCAAACTAGAAAATGGGGAGTTGAACTTAAAGAGCATATTGGATCCATGTTTGGATGGCAAATATGATGAAGTTCAAATGAAGAGAATGGCTCTTGCTGCAAAACTTTGTCTAAACCAAGCGGCCCGGACTCGGCCCGGAATCGAAAAGGTAATTTAAGCCCTCGGGCTGAGTTCGAAACCCGATCGACTCGCCTCCTTTCGACAAGTTTAGTGCTTAATTACGAAAGAGCTCCTACAGTTTTAGGCTAAATACAAAGTACCGTCCATTAGATTTTGAATATTTTCTTCAATTATTACTATGTTAGGAGTAGTTTCGTCATTATGGAAGATTCAACGCTGCTAATGTGGTCAGAGTTCTGAGTCGTGAGATCACACGTAGTGTGTTGATCTAACATACCAGACTCTTGTCCACATGAGCATATACGAATTTGAATTTGTATATGAAGAAATACCCTTAAGTTACAATCTATTTATAAGATTACTCAAGGAACTTTCAAATTGCACACTGTGAGAATATGAGAAAAATATATGATGTGTTATTCACAAAGAGAAGTACATATATATATAGATAAATATATGGGTCTTAGCCTAATCCTAACCTATAGTACAATCTCAATATTTACATATTTAACACCCCCCTCAAACTCAAGGCGGTATCGTGGAGATCAACTTGAGTTTGCTAAGAAGTAAACAAAAGTGACCGGGAAGGAGAGACTTTGTGAAGACATCCACTGGTTGATCTGTAGAGGAGACGGGAACAAGCTTCACAGTCCCATGTGCACCATGCTGTCGAATGAAGTGACAATCAATCTCAATATGCTTGGTGCGCTCATGAAATGTATCATTATGAGACATCTTTATAGCACTCTGACTATCACAATGTAAAGCAGTAGACGACGATTGAAGGGCACCAAGATCAGCAAGTAGTCGACGTAACCATAATAGCTCGGAGGTGGAATCAGCAAGAGCACGGTACTCAGACTCAGCACTCGATCTGGAGACTAAGGTTTGCTTCTTACTACTCCAAGAGACGAGTGAATCATCCAGAAAGAAGCAGTACCCAGTAATAGAACGACGATCAGTAGGATCTCCAGCCCAATCTGCATCAGAATAGCCGCTAAGCGTCAAGGAAGAACGGGCAGAAAAGTGTAAACCATGCAATAGAGTGTCCTTCACATAGCGAAGAATGTGCAACACAGCTGAATGATGCGTGGTTCTCGGAGCAGCCATAAACTGACTCACAATATGAACAACATGAGCTATATCGGGCCGAGTGACAGTCAAATATATCAAACTCCCAACAAGCTGGGGATATAACTTAGGATCCTCAACAAGAGAGCCATCCAGTGGAGTAAGACAAACATCATAATCAAGAGGTGTGGAAGCTGTCTGACAATCTGTAAGACCGGCCCGAGCAAGAAGATCAGAGGCATACTTGGCTTGAGACAAATAGAATCCATCAGAGGAATCAGAAATATCAAGACCCAAAAAATAGCGAAGCTGGCCCAAACTCTTCATCTCAAAATGCTGACGATGATAGTCCTGTAAATCGGAAATACCAGTAACATCATCTCCCGTGATGATCATATCGTCAACATAGAGCAGCAAAATAATAATCCCAGATGAGGAGCGCCGAAGAAATAAAGCGGAATCGTGATCACTCGTAGTGAAACCTAACTAAAACAATGCAGAACTGAACGTGGCATACCAGACACGAGGAGCTTGTTATAAACCATACAAAGCTCGACGTAGACGCCAAACCTTCCCAAAGGATAATGACCCCAGAGGTGGAGTCATGTAAACCTCCTCAGATAAGGCACCATGCAAGAAGGCATTCTTGATATCTAACTGCAGAAGAGACCATCGACGAACAACAACAACAGAAAGTAAACACCGAACAGTAGTAAGACGAGCAACTGGTGCAAAGGTCTCTTCATAATCGATGCCATACTCCTGTGAGTTCCCCTTAGCAACTAGACGAGCTTTGTAGTGCTCAATAGAACCATCTGAATTTGTCTTGATCTTATAAACTCATTGGCATCCGATAGGTTTCTTTCCAACAGGTAGATCCACCAAATCCCAAGTATGAGTCTTCTCTAACGCCTGCAACTCATCAGCCATAGTTTGTTGCCACAATGGATCAGCACTTACCTCACGAAAAGAGCTAGACTCATGATGAGATAGTATGGCCGAATAACAATGATAGTCAAGTGAGAAGGGGGACGACTTACACGAGTTGATCGTCGGTGATCAATGGTAGGTGAAGGGACAGAATTAGAAGAGGACTCAACAGGGAGCGTCGGTTCAGGATGCGTAGGTGGAGCCACTTCAGAAGATGAAGGCATGACAGGCGTGTCAATGAGCTGTGAGTCAGGACAAGTATCTGGAAAGAGATCCGAAGTAATGGACATGAAGAAAGGGGATGACGAATCAAACGGAATGTGAAATTTAGACAAAGAAGAAAAAGTAGTATGCTCCCAAAAGGTAACGTGACGCGAAATACGCAACCGATTAGCAATAGGATCCCAACACCTAAACCCTTTGTGTTCTACCCCATAACCCAAAAAACAACACAAACGAGTTCGAGGTTCTAACTTGGTCCGCTCATGGGATGGGAGAAGAACAAAGCACACACAACCAAAAGGACGTAACTGAGTATAATCAGACGACTGACCGTGCAACCGTTCAAAATGACTGATATCTCGAAGAACTGATGAGGGTAACCGATTGATAGTATAAATAGCAGTCAAGGCTGCCTCACCCCAGAAACGATCAAGACACTTAGCAGAAAGGAGAAGAGCACGAACAGTATCAAGAATGTGACGATGCTTACGTTCAGCTCGTCCATTTTGTTGAGAAGTATAAGGACAGGAACGCTGAACTACTGTGCCCTGATCAGAAAGAAAGTTTAAAAAGGTATAATCCTTGTACTCAAGGGCATTATTAGTAAGCAAGACCTTTATAGGGCAAGAAAATTGTGTGTGAATCATTCTAGCAAATTGAATATATATGGTGGGCAACTCAAAACGATTTTTGAGAAAATAGATCCAGGTAAAATGAGAAAAATCATCAACAAAAATAACAAAATACCGAAAACCATTCATAGAAGCAACCGGAGAAGGACCCCAAATATCAGAATGTACCAAACCAAAAGGTTTATCAGCAGTTGACAAATTCTCAGAAAAAGAAAGAGTCGAGTGTTTTCCAAGCTTACAATGAAGACAACTAAAAAACTCAAAATGACCTGGACCTAAAAGACCTTTATGATATAATGAACGAACTTTATTTGAAGACGCATGCCCAAGACGAAAATGCCATTGAAAACTGGACTGATTATCGATGACAGGGGCAGCAAAGGAGGAAGAACGAGGGATATGAAGAGACTCAAGCTCAAATAACCGGCCCATCTTGTGACCCGTCCCGAGAAACCGACTCGTCTGTGTATCCTGAACCTAAACACCAGAAGATAAAAATAGAACATTAAGACCTTGTTCAACCAATTGACTAACAGATATAAGATTCAAGGCCAAATCAAGAATGCAGTATGTGTCAGGAAGATGTAAAGAAGGGGAAGAAACCAGACCAGTGTGAGTAATATTCATATGGGTACCATTTGCAGTATGTATAGGGGGTAAAGAAGTGACGGAAGACGAGGAAGACAAAAATTGTGGACTAGAGGTCATGTGATTGCAACAGCCAGAATCAAAGTACCAATGAGGGTTACCTGCGGTAGCAGACATAGCAGAATTGGAATGGATAACCTGTTTGAGAATTACTTCTATGTCTTGAAGAGAATAAGATGAGTGCTAAGGCTCATTAGTGACAGCTGCTGTAACTGAAGAAGAAGGGGTCGATGAAGAAGACCCACGAGACCCTCGAGATCGAGAAAATGAACCTCCCGAACGTTGTGACTTCGCTGGACAATTTGGAGCAATATGCCCCAGAGCATGACAGATATGGCACTCCACCTTAGAACAAGTGGAAAAATAGTGATTAGAACTCCTGCAAAGCCGACAATAAACACGGGCTGGTGACTGAGGCTGATGCGACTGAGCGGAAGCGGAAGTAGGAACAGCTAATGCAGACTCAAGTTGTGGTGTCCTAGCCAACTGAAGACGAGTCTCCTCAAAATTGATCTCTTGAATAGCAGCATCAAGAGTAGGCAGTGGATGACGGTGTAAGAGAGAAGCACGAACATCCTCATACTCAGGACGTAGAGCCATCAAAATCTGGATAAGATCAAGGTGATCCGGACTAATCTCAGCCTGTCGGAGACGATACCGGATAGGCTGAACTTGTGCAAGAAACTCATTGACAGATTGACCCGGTTGCTGCTCGGTGGAAAGCAAGGTGCTCCAAAGCTGATAATAGTGAGCCAAGCCTGTAGTCTGAAATCGAGCAACCAAAAAATTCCAAGCCTCCTTTGCACTGTCAAACGGGGCAAGCTGCACCTGAATAGGAGGGACTGACATATTACGTAACCAAGTAAGAATCTGATGGTTCTTACTATCCCAATCCTCCAACTTATCGACGTAAGTTGTAAGAACCTGTGGTGTGGGGTTGGGATCCCCAGAAAGAGACGGATGTACAGGTGGCAACACATCACCAGTCACAATCCGCCACAATTTTCTCCCAATTTTCTCCGAAACTTTGAGCGATTGGTCGCCGGAGGATGTCGGTGATGATGGTATGGGAGGTGAGAATTGACGACCGCGGAGACGAGCGAAAAATACTAACCCTATATTGGATTCTAAACCTAGTCTGATACCATGTGAGAATGTGGGAAAAATATATGATGTGTTATTCACAAAGAGGAGTACACATATATATAGATACATATATGGGCCTTAGCCTAATCCTAACTTATAGTACAATCTCAATATTTACATATTTAACACACACTACACCCTTTGACTACATAACTCATCCTAAGTGCACTTTTTGTTAGAAACTATGTATCCTAAAGGGGGAGGAATATGAGGAAGGATCAAAATTAGCTGATGATGATGATGATGATGAAGTATACCCAGATTCACATGCAGAGTTGCATTTGAGTTTAGCACTTGATGTAAATGACAACTCTACTTCATTCAGCAGCGTTGACCAAAGTAGCCCTATTTGTGTTGAAGAGTACTTGAAGAAAAGATGTAGAAGGTCTTCAAGTTTAGAGTAGGAAAAAGAAATTGCTTGTTTGTTGGCCTTTTAATATCCTTGTATTGAGAAAATAAAATGTAAATCATATTTCATATGTAACTACTTATTTTTATTGTGAAGTGAATGTGGTGTATATAAATATCATGGGTGTGATTAGACACAATAATTTTTACTCCAATTTTCATCCGACTCAAAATTTAACTCAATTTAACTCAATTTCATTACCTCACTGCAAAACTAAATAATCTATACTTATATAAAAAGAATAACCTTTTTTTTAAAAAAAAAAATTGCAAGTTGATTTAATAGTCAAAGTGGATTAGCATTAAATTCTTTCTATTAATAGTAAATCTTATCTCCCCTCAAAACATGCATGCATTAAATGCTTCATATATGTCCGTGTAAATTTTTTAAATCGGTTGCAAAAAATCCGTGTAATCAAATTCAAAATTTGAATAACATCAATGAACATAAATTTGTATAGATATGTACGTGTAAAATATTGTTACATTTAAACTTAATCTATACATGTAAAAAAGATAAAATATAAGGAATATCTAAAAAAAGAATTTCTGTATTTTTTAAATCAATAGCATTAATTGAAAAGTTTAAAATATTGGTTTTTAGTTCCATACATACACGTCTCTTGCTCTTAAAGATTGGACGAAGAATCCTATTATAATTACAAAATCCCATATTGGCTTTTAGTTCCATACACACGTTTGTTGCCCTTAAATACCGATACGAAGAATCCTATTATACTTACAAAATTCCATCGTAATCCTACAGAATCCATTTAAATTTAAAAAATCTCATCCTTTATCTATATATACTAACAGATTTTTTTAAAAAAACTATCGTAACAGAATTTTTTTTTTTCTTAAAAAAAGTTAATTCACTATGTCTAATTACTAATATAAATCGTTGATCTATGGTAAGATTTTTTTTTTTAAAATTAATTTTCACCCATCTAAATACTAATATTTTTTCAAATATTATTAACACTTATATACACACACACACATATATATATATATATATATGGAGGTTAAACTTAAGTATTTTTTTACATGTTTTCCTTAAAAAGTAGTTTAAAAAGTGGCTTCAAACATTTTTCAAAAATAATATAGAATATTTTATATACTTTTTATATATATGAAATAATATTTTAGATGTCTTTAATATATATATCACATATTTCTCCCCCAAAAATATTAAATACATACAATAAAAAGTTAATAGAAGAAATGCATAATTAAATGTTGTTTTCAATTTTTGTCTGATTATCAGTTATATATAAAATCTCATCTTATTTGTTACAGTTTACATTAATCTCTGAGCTGTATTTGTAAAATTAATAAATCTGCATAAAGCGTGGAATTGTTAGGTGTACAAAATTTTTTTTTAACAGTAAAAAACTTACAAAAAAATAATAATTTTGAAATATTATGTACTCAAATTTTCGGAAGTACCGTCATAATTTGGGATCATGTCAATATTTATTTAATATATACTAGGTAATTTTTATCTCAAAAAAATTATAATGTCTTTATTTAGGCTTATAATATTTAGATACTTTTATATAACATTTTATCATGTCATGTTATATCTATATATACATGACCACACACACACACACACACACACATATATATATATATATATATACATATATTAAATTTAAATATTTTAGACATGTTTTCTTTACAAAAGAGTTTAGAAAATATCTCTCATACAAATGTGAAATTTAAATATCTATATATATATAATAAGAATTAACATTTACCATAAATAGTAGTAAGGAAAAGTCAACCACATTTATTATATACTATTTTCAGCAACCTTTACATTTTACATTTTAATTATAATTCATTATCAAAAAATTGGATGGTTCCTAAATTAATGGGTTTTAAATGCACGTATCAAGTTTCAAAAATTATAAATCATTTAATATCGGAGGGTTCCTAAATTAATGGTTTCAAAGTTGTAATCTTTATGACATCTTTTCTTTTTGACTTTTAATAATAAAATTATTTTAAATATATATATTCTAATCCAAAAATTCAATCATGTTAAATATATATATATATATATATATATATTGAACGCTAAAAATATTTTTTAAATTGCATACTCAATTAATTAATCTTAATTTTTTTTAAATTACTATGTTTATTTTTTATTAATATGCATAAAATAAAAATAAATAGTTCATATTTAGATATATAATTTATAATCTTAATATACTATCATTTGGTGTAGACATATGAATCATAAAATATTTTTATTTCATAAAATTAAATATTATATTTAAAGAAAATAAGGAAATTACTTTGGATCAATCGGGTGATTGAAATAGGGTACTGCCCACTTTGATTGAATTTTTTTTAGGTGATATTTAAAATAGTCAAAAAACTTGACACAACTTGGTTGGTCCGGTGTAACTAAGTTATGTATCAGTTTGACCAGACCAAATTGATTATTGAACCTAAATATAAATTTTAATGTTGAAAATACTTTATTACATGAATGTGATGTAGTCCAAACTTCAAATAATCATATTAACAATACTTTTATGACAACATGAATAATGATTTATGAATATTTATATATAATTTTATTATTATTTATGTGAACAAAATATTTATTTCATTATCATTTTTATTAATGTACGGTAAATATAAGGTTTTCAGAATCGGACCGTCTTGTGGTTGTTTAGATTTTAATACATAATACTTTAATATATATATATATATATATATATATATATATATTTAAATAAAAAGTGTTACTTAAATATTTAAACAATTTATAAATTCAAATGTTTAAACTAATTGATAAACAATTTATAAATCTCTATTTTATTTAAATATGTAATTTTATTTAAAATAATTTTTCATGTAACAAAATTTGTGTAGAAAATCGTATCGATCTTACCAGTCCAACATACTGGTGTTGGCGGATTCGATAGTAAATATTTTATTCAAGCGCACTAAATCGGTTATAAACCGGTTCTCGGTCCATGCGGTCGGACTGTGTCCAACCCAGTTTAATTTATAAATAATGGGTAAATCATAATTAATGTTATTTATTTATTTAATTTATAATAATACAATCAAAATATTATTTTCCCGTGCATCGAACGGGCCACGTACTAGTTTTTAATAATAATACAGAAACCTTTTACATACTCACATGTTTTTTATATTTTAAATATACAAACTTTATGTTCTCTTGTACAAGTTGATCTTATAGTGTTGATAATAAATTGATATACAGTAAATTATATCACATGTTAACCTCACATCTTTAATTTATAATTATTATTTAATATTATTTACTCTCATCTTTAATTTATAATTTTTTTTTTGCTATTTTAAAAGAGGATAATAGTGGTTCCCCACTTCTTTCATTGAGTGACTCGAACTCGAGACCGATTTATAACTATTATTTAATATTATTTACCCCTGCATCGCACGGGCTACGCACCAATAGTGGAGAGAAAAAAGATTACATGACATCCTAATCTCCAAAATTAATGAGCCCCTAAAGAATTTGGGCCGATGACTGATTGGGCCAGTAGTAAGGGAGTATTACAGGTCCAACTCTCAAATAAGTGGGCTTACTGTAGGTAATTTTTTCTAGTATGTGGAAAACAAAAATAGATCTATAGAAAGAGTCGGATCACCGAAACTCATCATTGATCGTAGAGAATCTCCCAAGAAATCAAGAAGCCATGACATTATTCTCCCGTATCAATAATTTTCTTGTCTTGTCTTGTTTGCTTTTATTTAATTAATACGTCAGCCACCAAAAAACAAAATTCATCATTGAAGTATAATAATAATTGACTTTAAGGATACATGGTACTTAAATTTCTACTTTTGAATTTACAATTTGCATAAATAATTAAAAGTGTGAAGAAAGTCACACGTTTGAAGATTTTATGCAAACCAATACCCCTCAATCATTGTGTTTTTAAATTGCTGAGCGTCGAGAAAAAGATTCTATCTTTCTTGCTTTCAGAAAAGGGACTCTTTTTGTCATCTGCGAGCTGTGTAAAATGACAAAATCACTCCAATTGATTTATCATTTTGAGGAGATTATAATGCTCAAGGGAGGTTTGGGTGGTTTGATTGTCACTTGTAAGTCTGTTTTTATCTTTAATTTGAAAATTTGTGATTTTGTATGAACTCACTCTGTTCCTGTTTCACTCATATATGGGACAACTGAGTCGAATTTCGGGGAAAATTCGATCATGCCCTTGTGGTCACTTTATATAAGTGTGTGTAATCGTGTGGTGATGATTGATAAAGTCCTTGTAGATGTAGGGTCAAATTTTCTGAATCTTGAAATGTATTCGAGCGAATATTTGTACATACCCGAATTCGGGTTCATAAAAAGATTGCATTTTTATGCCTTTCTAGGGCTTAAACGTGTGCGTGAGTGTATGTGATCGTGTGGTGATAAAGTTCCTATTTTTCGAATATTGGAATGTATTCGGGCGGATATTTGTATGTACCCGAATTCGAAATTCAAACAAAGATTGCATTTTTATGCCTTTCTAGGGCTTGAATGTGTGTGATCGTATGGTGATAAAGTTCTTGTAGCATTCAAGATCAAATTTTCCGAATCTCGGAATGTATTCGGGGTGATATTTGTATGTACCCGAATTAGGATTTCATACTAGGATCACATTTTTATGCCTTTCTAGGGCTTGCGTGTGTGAGATCGTTTGGTGATAAAGTCCCTATAGCATTAGGGATCAAATTTTCCGAATCTCGAATGTATTCGGATGGATATTTATATGTACCCGAATTCGAATTTCATACAAAGATTGCATTTTTATGCCTTTCTAAGTCTTTGAAGTATATTGTTTTCTATGGTTTTGTTGTGTATTTGCAGAAGAAAAGAGAGCAAATCCCCTGATTGAGAACCATTGTCGAAATCCCATTTCGCCGCACGTTTTATCACTCTCGTTTTCTTGTCCGAGCCAATCTCCATTTCGAAATGTACGGCGAAGAGCTCAATTTTCCTAGTGAAAACTTTTCATCATTCGACATAAACGATTTTCTCGTTCAAACACAATCCTCCAATAACAACAACGATGATTCCCTTTCGGACGTCCAAAGTCGAGCCCACGCGTGCACTCATGCCCACGCTTGCAGCCCGCCAGGCCCGGATAAAACCCACACGCACACGTGTATTCATGTTCACACCCAAATCATGCCCGACGAAAAAACTGGACCCACGATCGAGAACAAACCCAAAAAAACACGGCCCAAGGGAAACCGTGAAGCCGTGCAAAAATATCGCGAGAGGAAAAAAGCTAGAGCTGAGTCTTTGGAGAATGAGGTTGTTAAATTGAGAGCCTTAAACGAGGAAATGATGAAGAGATTGCAAAACCGAGCTCTGTTAGAAGACGAGGTCTCTAGGCTCAAGAGCTTCCTTGTCGATATTCGAGGAAAGATTGGAAGTGACATCGGGTCTTTTCCTTATAAGAAACAGACGATTAGTAATAACGAGAATAATAATAATCTTGCCGGGACTTATGTGATGAGCTCGTGTAATGGCAAACGTGAAGCTGCCGGATTTAACTGTCCTGGCTGTAAATTTGATGGCAACAATTCTTCTGGCAACAGCAAGAGAAAGTGAGCTTTCTTAGAAAAGAGCCATTTCATTTATAGCATGTTATTTAACTTGTTATTTACATGTTATCCTCAATAAACATTACATGCCTTTTGAAGTTGAAGAATTCATCTTCCCACAAGTTAAATTGCATATCTATGGTTCACTTTACACACATGCATGACTATAGATGGGTATAAATGAGTCGAGCTCCTGATAGTCGAGCTCGACCATATTTATCGAGTTTGAGCTACTAAACGAGCCGAAAAATGAGCTTAAACAAACCCACAAAACCATGAAACACGTGAAATAGGAGAGACATGACAAGATTCTCACATAAACCAAAACCACAAACCATCCAAACAACAAATTACTATCCACAAACACCACCACAACATTAACACAACCTAAACCCAAACTCCTCTCCAAACACCACACTTGTGTATGAATGTGGGTGTAAACGAGCCGAGCTAAGCTCGAGCATCACTTTATCGAGCTGAGCTTCTAAACAAGCTTAAATTAACCCACGAAACCATGAAACACATGAAACCGAACAAACATAACAAGATTCTCACAAAAACCTAAACCACAACTATCCAAACAACAATCACTATCCACAAACAACACCAAAACATTAACACAACCTAAACCCCAACATCACACTTATGCATGAATATGAGTGTAAACGGACCGAGCTGAGCTCGAGCATCATTTTATCGAGCTAAGCTTCTAACCAAACCGAAAAACGAGCTTAAATTAACCCACAATACCATGAAACCGAACAAACACAACAAGATTCTCACAAAAACCAAAACCACAAACCATCCAAACAACAATCACTATCCAACAAACACCACCAAATCATCAATCAAGACAACCTAAAACCCAAACATCACACAATCCTACAAGCCGTGGGATTTTCGTCGCTAAAAGCCGTGACATACCTAACTTCAGTCGAACTCGCGCGTGCAAGTTGCAAAACCCGAGGATCCTCCGAGTCCCGAACATAACCAGCCGGTGCCTTTTTGTCGTATACACCCGGTGCATACGGGTGGTCCACCACATCATACGGCACATACGGCCAAAACTCGGCTTTTTTGCCCGTTCGGTGGAGCACACGAGCCAAAACCTTATGCGGGTCGACATAGCCAATTACCGTTAGCTTGCTCTGCTTCGGGGAAACTTCCACCGAGCTCACGCCTTTCATGCCATCGACCGATTTTCGAACCTTCCTTTCGCACCCTTCACAGTCCATCTTGATTTTGATCTCAACAGTCTTANGACTTTTGCACTAAACTGCATAAACCGAAAAATCAAACTGACATGAAAAAATAACCGAAGTTGTTAAAAGAAAAAAACGAAACTAACATTATTTTACACCAAAATAACCAAACCAAAAACCACCGAAGCTGAAATTATTTTACACCAAAATAACCGAACAGAAATGCACGGTTTGACTTGGTTTTCGGTTTTGCCTCAGTTTTCTATGTATTTTTATTTAAATCGGAGTCGTGACTTGCGAAAAATAATAAACGAACTGCAAAGTCTGAGAAAAAACAGAACCGAAACGTAATGAAAAAAATTTCACGCTTAAAAAAATGAACGAACGCACACCGAATTGCACGGTTCGACTCACAATTTTTCGGTTTCGGTTTGGTGAAACCAAAGTCGTGAAAAATAATAACTGAACTGCACAGTACGGGAAAAAAACCGAACCGAAATGAAATCGAAAATTTTTCACGCTTAAAAAGCCGAACGCACACTGAATTGTGCGGTTTGAATCCGTTTTTCAATTTCGGTTTGATTTGCTGACCGTTAGATCTTAGATAAAGCTAAAAAACCTGAAGTGCTCTGCGTTTCTTGAGCTTAGAATGTCTTCCACCTGAGCAGTCACATACGTTTGAGAGATGATCCAAAACGCCCATATTTTCCAAAAATTGGAAATTTTAAATTATCAAAGGCTTTATAGTTTCGTGCTATAATCTCTGTTTTGGACAAAGGGTGATTCTTGATAAAATCTTGTCAAGAGTTTTGAGTGTTTTAATAATGAGCTGGCAACTAGGTTTTGCTTTTTCTGGTATGACCGTTAAGCGCCACGTGTAATGATGTGCTTTGTGTGTTAGGGTGAATGCGCGCCACGTGGTGCATTTTGTGTAGATCCAATGCACCGACCCGAGTTTGGAGATAGGGTTCGGTTTGTTTCGGGATAGTGCGGATCCTCTGCTACACACTTCTAATGAACTTTTTGGTGTATATACACTATGGGCCTGTAGAAAATTGGTCTAGAAAAAAAAAATGAAGTCTATAAATAAAGATTTTAGGCCCAAGTATTTGGGCCGACTTGGGGTTTTTGGAGTAGAAGTCCAACCGCAGAACCTGTGGCCTAGCGTACTTCGCTTTCTGCGATAAAAAATGATATTCTTGGTAAATAGATAAAATACATGTTCAAACTTAAAATGCTCACATTTCAATAAATGCACGGATGTCTATGTTATTCTAATTTAAAAGTATACTAATATAAATAAATAAATAAAGAATTTTGCAGTATACAGAAAATTACAATAATGGCAAAATAGAAACATGGTTGATAAGATTTGAGCAAATATATATATGTGGGTANAAAAAAAAAAGGAAAAATGGGCAAAGGCATTAACTACTGTGCCTAGCCATAAAATTTTTTCTACTTTCGTAAAAATAAACTTCAAAAAATTGTGATTCTGCCTCTATGTCATACACTTTTTAGATTGCATAAATCATCATACTTTTTCGATAAAAAATTACATTTAATTTTCATATTTTAAGATTTAATATAAATAAAAATCTAATATTTTATAGTCTAATATTTGAAGAAAATTGCATGATTGATATTCTTCCTAGTTCCTACCATTAACATTTTTTCATTTCATAGCGTATGTCGGTATGTGTGTAGATTGGATAAAATTTTATCATATAAATATATTCACGCGACTTTATACCGTTTGATCAATACATCCACAGTGAAATTATGTGCCAACGACGTGGAGCCCATGCATTACTCCATGCGTTTATGTCTGCAAAAACTGAACTTGTTAAGAAATCACAATTATTGTTTGTTTGTTACTCTCTTTGAGATTTCCCAGAAATCTGACCGCAATTCAATACGGGTTGCAAGAGTTCACGACTTCACGTTCTCCTTACACGTGTGTACATAGATAATTACTATAATTTATTTTGGTGTTTAATGTTTAATAATTTTAATAATGTTAAATAATATGATAATTAATTACATACGATTTTAGAATCACAATGTATTTAATTTAGATTTTTAAGACTTTTAAGGTCTCGAGATATTTATTTAAAATTTTAAAAAGTCTTGTCTAACCTTGATGTATTTAATTTATTCGAAACTGTTAGTATTTGTTAAGATTTATATGATTTAACTTGACTTGAAAATAAAAAACATATACAAAATCGCACCTCACCTAGTCACCTGTAGGTTTAAAATTTCATATGATTTCTTTTAAATGGAAATTTTTTAAAAAGTATCAGATTTTAAAAAAATTCAAAATATCGCTTAAAATTTCAAATGAATACATCTCTAGAGATATTGCTTGAATATTATATTCATTATCCTTCTAATTTAGGCAAATGTAAAGAAGGCTGTGAAAGCATGTAGATCTAGATACGGTCAATGCATGGGCTTGAAAAATTGGAGGATTAATTATACTTTTGAATTAAAATCTTTGAACTCTGAAAATCAAACAAATGCTTCCAGATTAAGGCGATGGAATTAAAAATTAAGCAGTGTCTTTTTGTTATAGGACATTCCGAGTCGTGGTATCTTCCCACGTTCACACACCAAAATGTTTAAAGAAATATTCAATAACGTGTACTAAAGAACTTATGTTTTGTGTGTTAATATTATATTTTTAAATACTTTCAGTACATTTGCACGAATAATCGTTTTAGAATAAATGGTTGTTCAGTATATATAGTATTTAAAAAGTATATTGATATATATGAGCCCATTATATGGAGGAGTTGACCTTATGATTTTTTCTTACTATTAAATTAATACACATATACATAGACTCACACGAGTGTCAGGTAGTCATCGGTGGGTTAAATCACTGACAAACGGGGTTGACGGGTGCAGTCTCACGGACGTGAAGCGCACCAAATCAGGAAAGCCCAAATAAAGCCCAGGTGAGGTTTCATCCCAAAATCAATTGGTGGTAGGAGGAGTAGCCCACTAGGCTTATAAGTTAGACCTATTTTCCCCGTATAGACGATGTGAGACAACTCACAAGTGTATATTATAACATCACAGATTTTATTTTAAACTGAATGATTATTTGCATTGTTCTAGCATCATGTATCTAAATAAAGAAAAATGAAAAGGAAAAATTAATTTAGAGGAAAAAAAGGTCATTATATATATTGTCTAAGACTTAAAGTTTTTTGGTCCCAAATTCCATTTCAAAAATTAAAGACATTGTACCTATATTACTTTATACATAGACTTGGGGAAGCACAATGAACGGTTTTCTACACCAATAGTGTCTGTCTTTCCCAAGAAAATGATGGATTTTTTTTATTTATTTTCTATTTTTGGTATAAATCATAGTTTTTAAACTCGGCCCGGTGATCGACCCGGACAGATCCTCGGGTCACCGGGTCAATTGCTGAACCGGATAATTAATTTTAAAATTTTTAAAATTATATATAGAGTATTTTAATTTATTATATAAATATATATAAAAGTAACAAAATTAAATGTTTTGTATATAAAATTTGTATATTAAAGTGTTAATAATATGTATCTCATGATAAATATTTACCATATAAACATATATATATAGTTTTATTTTAAAAAAATAAAAAAAAATATATAAAAAATATATATGGACCGGGTCAACCGGGTTGACCCAGTCGGGTCAATGTCCCGGGTCGACCCGGCCGGGTCAATGTCTCGGGTCGGCCGGGTTTTGNAAGAGAGAAGAAAGAAAGAAGAAAGAGAGAAAGAGAGAGAAAAAATATGTAAACTAATTATAAAGAAACATTACCCGGGAAGACTAGTAAAAATGCTAATGATATCAACTTTATTATCTATGGTCTTCATCAATTCTTGAAAGGGCTATAAAGGCCTATACTATTGACCACGCGTCGTTACACGGTAAATTTGAATTTATAAATTTTTCTAATTTATCCCTACTAATTTAGTAATAATGGCGAGTAAGGGTCGATCCCACAAGGAGTGTGGTACAAACCATGATTTTATTATATTAATTTTATTAAAGTAAAAATGGGAGGGAATTTGATTTAATACTAAACTACTAGCAAGATGATAAATTAAACTAAAACTAGAGATGAATGATTAAAATGCAAATATGATGAAATCGAGAGTAAACAAATAATCTAACAAGGATGAGAATGGAATCGGTTCTAGGTTGGTCTACACCTTAGATTTACTAGCTCAATTAATGCATTTATCAAATTTCACTCGTTTTCTAAAACTACCGGTCCTAGATAGCAATAAGCTCTGCTACCCGAATTTTCCCTTAATTTATACTTAATCGAAATAGGCTCTTCAATTAATTCTAACTAACGAATAACTCAGAATAAGCTCTCATAATTTAATCCACTAGTCGCATTAAAATCTAAGAAAATAGACCGATCTAAGCCACAAGCACATAAGCTCGGTTCATGTAACTTATGTTGTGTTATCCCTAACAGTACACGACTATTAGTTGCTACAAATGAAATAAGAACGACGACAATTACGGATCAAAGCCTTAATCTAGCAATTAACATGAAATTCTCAACTTAGGTGATCAAGCTAAATTAAAGAACACATATTATGGCATGTAACTAGAATAACACAATCAATTTTATACGATGAGTAAAATGAAATAAATTGCATTAATCGAACATAGTCAACGAGGGTTCAACGTCCCTAGAACCGAAATAGTGTTTAGCTACACATAGCTAAATAATAAAAACAAAAATAATAAGTCATGGCCTTAAAACAAAATAAAGCAAAACAAATAAATAAACACAAACTCCCTTCTAACGACAATAATCCACGGCCCAGTGCTAAAATAAATTGAATTTGTCTTCTCCCCAATGCTCTCGCATAAGCATAACCCACCTCGAAAAAAATAACTTCTCCCAATTAATTACTAACCATCCTACTCATTCCACCAATGAGAGTCCTCCGCTTTATTAGCTTCAATTACTACTTGTTTTCCTTTTCCTCCGTGCCACGTAGTAAAG